AAACCAAAACTATGAGAATAAGTGAAAAAGTATTACTACAAAATAATAGAAACCTTTATTAAACAAAAATATCAAAACATGAACTATTTTTCTCAAAATAAGCCCTGTCTAGGTCTATACGCTTTTGAAGGGCAGTGTTTCTTTCCCTGAACAATTCAGCACTCTTCGTTTACACAGTATCGAAACAGCAGTTTTGTCATTCACGGGGAATCCAAATTGTTTTCTTTCTAAGGGTTCTTTGAATTTGGGGCACAAAAAGCAGGCAATATCTGAGCTGTAAAATGAATGGGATACATTTTTCAACAAAATTCACCCGGGACACCCTTCACTGCTCTCAAAGAATGAGCAGGCCTGTCTTTGATTCAGGCAGGTCTTTGGTGCAATTTTTCTGGTCTTTTTCTTACCATTGCAATTTTAAATTTTCTTAAAACTTCTTGCAAATAACTGCCCATGATTGCCCTTTGAGAAAATCTTTCATGATTATCCAGTTGGAATCCCAAAATTGAGTCACCATAACTTTCTGAGCTGACCTCTATTCCTTAAACTTAGCAGATCCTCTCAGAACCTACTGTTTTGATTGGACTTTTTTTGGAAGGCCCCTACGAGACTAAGACAACTTGGAGAACTTATCTACAACCATCCACTGATTGCAGAAACAGTTTTAAACACAGTCGGTTTGGATAAAGCTGTGCTTGTACGAACTGGAACCTTTGTAACTCTACTTTCTGTACTTTCATATTTACTGTTTGAGCCTTTACAGAAAACGTCTGTTGAAGCCTGCATTAGGTATTCACCAGAAGGGCAATGTCTTTTGCTAAAATACATTTGGCCCAAATTGGTACAGATGATAGTCTAGTCCTTTCATTCGCAGTTTCATGGCTCATTCATTTCCTAAAGTCTCCAACACCAGTCTCAGATTATTCTTAGTGGATCAATTTTAGATTTATATTAAGCATAAAACAGATTTCTATTAGGCATAAAATGTGACAAATGATCGAGATGTGCACTTCAAATTGAAGGCAAACTACAAATTTATGAACTTAAAATTAGATATGTAATAAGATCATATAAACTCTAATCATCTTTATGCATTGAATTAGGAGTATTTAATATTATTTTATCCTAACACTATTTGAGAGATTAATTTTTATTGCTCAAATTTTTGTGTTTCAGTTTCTTGACTTCAACTTTTTTCTTAATATTGAATTTTTGTGTGAATTGTTCTTAATAAGTTATTATAAGACATAGCAAATAAAATTTTTGCCAACATTTTTTCAAAATACCAAATAACGGGTTTTTAAAAATTCGTCACTCACCAAGGAGAGAGACAGCACGTGGTATATCATGAACAGTAACAGAGTCGCAGTGAGAGGACCTGGGTTCCCTGTTCCTGCTTTCCTCACACTCCTTGGGTGACCTTTGCGATGGCATTTGACCGTTCTGAGCCTGGATTTGCTCAGCTCTCAAATATGTGGGTTTGGTTTGCTATTTTTTATTGTTCTTTTTGCTGTTTTCATGTAAGTTTAAAATTTTTGGAAACATTTTAAGATATA